ACTTTAATTTATTTCTACCAATTTATATTATTTATGTAACTATTAAAATAAATATGTATGTCTATCATAGAAATTTTCTTTTTAATGTAGGTACTTAGTTTTTTACCTTAAGATTTGATTTTAATTATGTCTCATAAGTAGTCCTCTATTGTATATTAATTTGATTTTTTTTATACATCTTATCTTATTTTTCTATATTTATAGCTATGCAAAGGAATTATAAATCTTTTTTATAAAATAAGCAATGTAGAATATTGTTTATATATATATGTTCAATCTATTAACTTTAAATTCTTAAAACTATATTTATTTATATTTTACTCAAGTTATTTATTGCACATTGTGGTCTCTACCTATTTTTTATCTAATAATCTTATTATAATATAATATTTCTTAATATCAAAAAATTCAATTATAAATTTATTTAATTTTAAAAAATAATCAAAGAAGATTTGAAATCCACCAATCATGAATCAATTCACAACCTAAGTTGTATTTTAATCACATTAAGAAGTAGTATAAAATCTTGGTTACACTTATCAAAAATAAATATATATACATATTTCTAAATAATACAAGAACCACTATTTTTTTTTTGACTAGATCAAAGAAAAATAATTCTAAGCTACTAAATAAGGTTTAAATAAGAATAATGTTAGTCGAATTGGACATTTAAGTTTTCAATAACTAACTTACATTCTTTTTTATCTCATTTTTTCTTTAAAAAGTTGAAAATTATCAAAAAATAAGTTCACTACTTTATTTTTTTATCTTATATACAACATCCTCAATGATACACATAATTTCTAAAATTTGAAAATCTTTATATTCAACTATATACAAATTACTATCTTACTATTAGCTATAACTTAAATAATCAACAAACTTCTATGTATAGCTTATTATATTATAATTCACCTACATTGAATACTACAAGAGTAATGTTATTTTTTTTTATTTATTTTTAACTAGCATCATAATCAAATTAGAAATTTTTGGTTATTGTGTGTATTCTAACCAACTTGTTAGATGATTGAATGTTTCTTTCTTTATACATACACCTACAATGCTAACTATGTAGTTGTCACTTCTAAAAATCTTAAATAAGATATTGACAAGTAATTTCCTCTTACTTTACTACAATAGTCAAATTCACATCTTATATCTTCATTCTAGATCAAAATCATAGTCTATAAATTTAATGATCTTTAAGTATGAAAAAACAATAACTATAAATTATAAATTATATATATATATATATATATATATATATATATATATAATACTAAGATTTATTTTTTCACATTTCTTTTTATTTATTTATCCAAGATCACATGTACATTTTACCAAAAAAAATACATGAAAAAATCTAATACTTCAAAAATAAAAAATAAGAGAGCCATTTTCATAAAAAATCAAGAAAACAACAAAATCTAAAAAAAATCTCTCTATTCAAATCACTACAATAATTGCAATAAAATTAGAAATTATTTTTATTATTTTTAAATTTTTCTATTATCTTATTTATACTTATTTTTATATTTTATATGTATCTATATCAATCCTATATATATATATATATAGATATATATATTTATTTATTTATTTATTTTATATATGTAATTTTGTATCAATATTATAAAAATATCTGAATGATATCTTAAAATATTTAAATTGATGCTTCAAAATCTTATAATTAATGCCATAGGTTCATCTAATTGATGTCCTAAAATCGTTTTTTAGATATTTTTGAAAGGCTCTTCTATGCATAATTATTAAATTAATTTTTTAAAATTAATTTTTAAAATTATTATTTTGTAAATTCGTCTATTTCAAGCTTTTTCTTATTCCATCAACTACCAACAATCACTTCTCTTCTAACAAATTTTTATTACATATAAAACCCTAATAATATGCTTGATTCTTAAAGTAAATAATGGATCTTGTGTTCTTCAACTAATTACCTATATTTTTATACTTTACATGGTAAAATATTCATATTATAACAAAGTACAATAGCATAAACTTGAGCTTAGTTTTAATATAGAAATTTTGCAATCTTATCTTATTGACATAAATTTTGTTTAGGGCAATTGTTTTAAAAGACTATACATTAGAAAAGTACTTATTCTAATTCAATTTTTTTATTGTTGTTTAAACCATATTTATCTTTTATATAATTATGTGGTAATGTGATATATTCATAAAAACTTGTAATATTTTTAGTATTAAGATGTTATAATTTTTTAAAAAATAATTAATTATTCAAGATATTTATAATTTATTTTTTATTTTGTAGTCTAAATAAGAATATATATAATATTTTATTAATTATTATTAATAAATCATTAATTATATTAAAATTTTGGTTTGGTATTAATAATTCTTATCTTTTGTTTTACAAAATATTTTAGTGTTCCAGTATAAATAGTATCAAAGTTTTACCTCTAATATTATCAAATAAAATCCAAAAATAAAATCTATTATTTGCATAATTCTTGTATTTTTGAATTTATCAAATAATTTCTTATATATAATTGTAAAGAATAAATAGTTACATATTTTCAATTTTAATTTTAAGGTATTTAATTTGATTATTTATTTAAAAAATAAGTTATGTTTTTTATTCTTTATAATTTAAGTACACCTTCAAAAATATTGAGCATGATTTATATATTGAATATTCTTAAAAAATAATCTTGCTTACCATCAAATTAATTGTAATTTTAAATATTAATTTTTACTTAATATATATATATATGGATGTTAATAATTTTAAAAAAATATAGGTAAAATAAATTCATCTCTAAAAAATATTTAAAAATTATATCTGAATTTATTTCAAAAATAAATAATTAAATCAATCAATTAATCAATCAATCAAACAAAAACAAAACATTTATATACATTTCATATTTATAACTGGTATTTTTTTCCAGAAGGGTTTTCATAATATTGGGTTATATGCTGGGTGCATATGCATGTAATAATTGGCATTCAATTCGCATCTTTGTAGTAATGTATTTTCTGAAAACAACTTTAACCATAAAATATCACTTTTTTGCAAGTCAAGCAAGACCGTTGGAAAACACAATACATCTGTTTGGTTCCATTGCATCCAAACTCTTATCAATAACAACAACCAAGACTTTCACAATAATAACCACATTCTACAAGCATACAACATCCAACATTTAGTCAAAAATATGAAGCAAAAGCACACCAATAAAGACAATGATTTCTTCAGTAAAATATCTTTATGCTGTATTGTTATTAAAAAAAATAAAAAATAAAAAACAAGAGAAGAATCTACAACTGTTCATTTTGAACATGGTACAAAATATTGAATGATGCAAGTGAATTGCGTGTACACACATACATACACACCCTGACAATCACATGAATAAGTACAATTGCCTCTGAATTCATGGAGTCAAAAAAGCAAAAAACAAAACATTAAATTGTGATTGTACTGAATGCTACACTGCAGTTCTTCCTTGGCTACCAAAACTTGACCCGATTGTGTATCCGACGCTGTTGCCTATCACATGAATTTACAAGTCAATTCTAAGAGAACCAACTCAAGAATTTTACTGCAGCGAGCTCCGCGACTCAGAACCAAGACCATGCACGTCACTGAGTCCCCAAAAAACATCTTGTTCAATCTGTGGAAAGCTGGCTTTCTGGCCAATTTTTAAGACATGGGTGTAATCAACTTCTTCCCGTGAGTGGGCAGCTTCGAGAATAGATCCGAAGATGAATATGTGGCCAAGTGGTGCAACAATGATAATAATCAGATCAAAAGGTTATGTTAGGGATGCAATCCTACTTTAGAAGACCGTAGTAAGCAATCAGATTGTTTCGGTTTGCGTTTTTTGGTAATATTGCTTTGGAACTTGAGTCGAGGCCTGTCGAACCATGGCAGAAAAGTGGTTGTGAATAGACCAAGAACATCATTCCTCACTTATCTTTACATAAGGCAAAATCTGTTACTGTCAACATATTGGTAGGTGCAGTCTCAGGTATAGTGACTCTGGACAGTCAATTGTTTGCAAGACCCTATCAGTCGAGGGTTCATGTTCTTGTGGGGGAGATGACAACTACTTCCGAAAAGGTGAAGATCTTTGCTGGTGACCAGTCAATTGTTGTCTATGAGAAGTTGGAAGATATTTTCACGGCATAGCTGGGTTTCTCAGTTTGAGGATTTATGTTGGCAAACATTGAATATTGCTGGAAATTCAGCGGCACAAGATGTTCAGTCTGTTAATGCTCTCAACCGAGTATTGGAAAGACCACGGGTACTCACCAATGTAGACAGAAACTTTTTGTAGTTGATGGAGGATCACTGTTGACCGTTTGAAGACCCTATCCTCTCGCGGAGAACGGTTATTGTATTTTAAAAACATTCACTCACAAAATACATCTGGATACATACCTGGATCATTTGAATTGACATGCATGTGCACGAGCTTCGAGGTGAACACAGGAATTACTTGGGTGGTTCTTGAAGAGTCAAAATCCCAACATTTTTATTTTACTTTATGTTGAGTAGTGTCTCATAATTTAGTACAATTCAGTGCGGTGACACCACATTATAGCATTTCCTCTAAGAAAACTAAGACTAAATTCGTGTGTAAACACCGATTGCAATATTCAGTACAGGTTCAAATATGTGTTCAAACAAAAAAATAGCATACATTCCACAATCTGCACCTGTAAACATCTAGACATTACATTCTTCTGATATAGAAGTGAAAATCTTTCATTTCTACATGCAGCACGACTGTCATTAAATTCACTGGTTTTCGATTGCACTAAGTCCTTGTAGGAGTGCGCATCCCCTAAATTGTCACACCGATCGTTAAAATTATGGTGCACAAGAACGTCCAGACCACTAACTCGCGTCCTACGGGGCTAAAAATGCACATCATATGCTCGACCAAGCACATACTAAGTGCACACTCACAAGAAAACTAATTCATCAACTCACTGCTTCGATGTGAGGAACTTCTCTGCGAACACAGAACGAATCTCATTTCATTATATAGCGTAGGGAAATCCAACATCAACGCACGTAAGAACCAGAGACTCCACCTTCATGAACGTAATGACAAATATGAACCACTGTTCATTGAGACCCCTGTATGTTGGAGCAACGCAAATGCTCCTCACATAAAATAAAATCTAATATGACATCGCGCTACAGACGTTTCCAAGCAGCTGGAAAACACGCGACAAAATCGCACATCGAAGCATAAGTCCTGAAGTAATTCCCACAAACCTGGTTTCAAATTTGCAACCGAAGGCAAACTTTGCCCATGAGGAAGAAACAATAATCTATGAATCCTCCCCACAGTAAGACTCAATATGAACCTACCCCTAACTTCTACCATCGCTAAAAAGCTGCAAAAATGTGGAGCTTCAGGTTGAGGGTTTAAGGCTTAAGGTTTAACCAACAAACAAAAACACCGAAAACAGCAGACTATCTACAACTCAGAAGTGACGGGCTCCCCGTAATTGACAAAAGCCTTAGCTTGTGCAAGCCGCTCCCCTACTGCTTGCCACGACACCAAATTATCCAAAAACTTTGACAAATACTTCGGTCTCTGGTTATGGTAATCCAAATAGTAAGCATGCTCCCACACGTCCACAACCAACAAAGGAATATGATCCCACACAATGGGCGTGAGAGCGTTCGGCGTCTTGAGAATCTCAAGTTTCCCGTCCTTCCGCAGCACCAGCCACACCCATCCGGACCCAAATTGGGACCCAGCAGCTCTCTTGAACTGCTCCGCGAATTCCTTGTAGGAGACAAAATTGCTGGAAATGAGCTCCAGAAGCTCTCCCTGAGGCTCTCCGCCACCACTCGGAGACATAGACGACCAGAAAAACTCGTGGTTCCAAATCTGCCCGGCGTTATTAAAATAAGCTTTCGGATTCCCGTCGTTGTAAGCGGACAGCACCAGCTCGCTCAAATTCTGCCGCTCCGCCTCAGTGCCCTCTACCTGCTTGTTAAGATTGTCCACGTACGCCTTGTGGTGCTTGCCCCAGTGAAACTCCAGCGTCTCCTTGCTCATGTGAGGCTCCAATGCGTCCAGCTCGTAGGGTAGAGGCCGCAGCTGAAACTCAGCTCGTGGTGCCCGCATTCGCACGAGCCTCTTCCGCATAGTGGCCACATTCCCAATAGGGTTTCGAAGTGTGTTCGACGAAAAGACCGATCCTGCTAAGCTGCTGGTCGCCATAGCCTGATTCTCCCAAAGCTGAAACCTCACAACAACAACAACAACAACAACTCTCCTCAACGCAATCCCCGAAACCCTGAGCCCCATGCACTCACACAAACACACACTTTCTCTCTCTCGGTTTTAGGTCCTGCGATTATAGAGCCCGATCCCGCAGCATAAGATGATTCTTGATTGGATGGAGAATTGAGACTCGAACTTTCATCTCTATGAATGGATTGCATCCAATGTCAAGTAATAAGGCTTGCCTCGTGTGCTTCCTTGGACCCTAGTCGGACTTGATTGTTGGGTGGTAGATGCACTTGGCTCAAGTGTAGGTCTTGATTGTTTAAACCTTGGAAAAAAGTGGGAGTTGGCATCTAAAAAGGGATATAATTATTTTCCAAAATTGAAAATAAAACCAATGGTTTTATTTGATAGTAGAAACTTTTTTTTTTCTTTCTTTTTTGATAGAATAATGTTACTAATAATATTTCTCACTCTTGTTTTGTTTGTATTTGATCATATTTTTATTATTATTTTACATAATTTTATATATATTTCTTAAGTTTGAAAGAAATTAGAATAAACTATTATTATCTTAACATTCATTTTATAAAGTAGATAAGATATTACAAGTTTTTATATATTTTTTTATATTACTTCCATTAAGAATGTACAACAACTATAATAGTTACTTCACATTGTAGCATCTTATTATTCTATCTTGCTAAACTACCACTTTTATAGCTTAGAAATTTATAAGCCATCTAAAATATATTTCACCAAAAGAATTAAAATTAAAATCAAAAAATTAAAATCTAATTTATTTATTTGATTTGTAAAAATATCTTCTTGTCTATAATTCAATCATGATTTATAAATTATATATATATATATATATATATATATATATATATTATATTTTAAACTTAGTCATCACTTCAAAAGACATTATGATAAAATTTTGTTTTATGGCATATCTTAATAGACTATTTAGTATCAAATCTCTTAAATTTGTGTGCTATTTTGATAATATAGATTTCTTATGTACTTATAAATTTTTTCTATGGTATTTAATTCAAAAACTATATACATCTTGTGATTTTAAATATAGTCAAATTCTAAATATTTTTACTTATAAAGATTTTTAAGAATTATAAAAATAATAATAATAATAATAATTAAAGATGGAATAATTGGTAGAATGTAGAAGTGTTAAAATTACTGCAAACAAGATAATAATTATCAACAATAATTTAATGATAAATAAACCACATCATCAAAAAATAGATTAAAAATATTTATACATATACAAATCAAATATAAAAAAATTAAAATAAAAGTCTAAAAATAAGGTATTTTAAGTATTTGATATAGGTCAAATTTTATTTATCTATATTTGAATTAATAAGTTTTTTTTTCTAAGAATAATATTTTTTGCTAAGTTTTTTTCAAAATAACAATGCTTCTACTTCCATGTGCTATATGCACAAAAAAAGATCAAAACATAATAGTTTTAAAAGTTTATAAAATTTTATATTTTTTATATTTTTTAAGTCATTTATTTTAAAGGCTCTCTCAAATATCTTTTAAAAACTAGCTATAAAAATATATATATATATATATATATATATATATATATATTGGCCCTTTAAACTTAAAGATCTAAACTTGATTTTTATTTTATTTTGTTTTTGTAGGCTTCATGGTTTTAGTATTAAACATATATTTTTTTGTCCATATAGTATAAATCTATATGAATAGATTGTAAGATTTCAATATATGACTCATATTTGGTATCATAGAATAATATTAATGTGAAAATAATATCTTTGATATTAGATTTGAAATAGAATGATAAAAACCAATCTATGCTTCAATTTTTGGTGGTTGTAAAACTTGTTTCTAGAAGCTTGTATAAATGTGGAAAACATGAGTTTCAAAAATATTCTAAAATCTTATATCAACCCTGAATTCTAAACTTAAAATTTTCTATTCCAACCTATATCTATCTATAATGTTTGATCTATTTAGATTTTGATATATTTTTGAATTAAAATGAAGATATAAATCTTAGTTAGTTTTTAATCCTAAGAGTTTTAATAAAAATTTAAGATTCATAATTTTTTTATTTTATTTCCATTATTTTTTTTATATATTTGGTGTAGAATATTTTATCTTTTGATGAAAGGTGTCATGAATCAATTCCTTTGAAAATTCTATCATATCTTATATCTTATCTATCTTTAATTTTAGAAATATAAGATTAAAAATTTTACTTACCAAGATAAATAAATATTAAGTCAAAAACGGCCTTGATATATTTTGTTTTATCAAGAAAAAATATATTTTGTACCTCTATTTTGTGATTACTAGTTGATTTATAATAATATTTTTTTTGACATAAAGATTTCAAGACCTAACATGATTTTAAAGTAAATCACATATAAGAAATTTTTAATAAAATAATTTTAATAATGTTTAATCTTTGATCTAATTTTTTAAAATGCTATTTAAAATATTGTATCTTTAAAATAAAATTAAATGGAGAATTTGTAAAAACATATATAAGATTAAAATTTCAGTTTTATTTTTTATATTAAATCGGAATTATTTATTATTTTTTTCAAAACTTTTAAGAAAATTAATAAATTTATTTAATTTAAAAATAGAAATTAAGATATTTAGATTAAATATCTTGTTTACTATGTTGCTTTCTATTTAGAGAATTTTTGATTCTATTATTTACTGCCAAGACCTTGTATTTCTAAATACTTTAAAAACTTAAAATTATATTTTGATAAACCTTAAACTATTTATTACATCTTTTAGTTTATAACTTGTAAGTTTTGCAACGTCTCTTGTGAAGATAGATTGAGATTTAATTTTACATTAGGTATGGTATCATTAAAAAAAAGTTGTAAATCACAGATTTCATTGAAGTTATTTTTCTTTAAGAAATTTTTTAGCAATTGAGATTAATTATTAGATTTCTAACAAAAAAATAAAATTATAGATTAATTTAAAGAATGGTATTAATTTTATAAAAATTTATGTTTGTATAATTACTATTTATACAAAAAACAAAATCTTGAATATTTCTTATTAATATGTTTGTTGAATTGCTATTAATTCTATTGAATTACATTTTTTCTAAGATAATCATTTTCAAATTATTATAATATATATATATATATATATATATGACATGTCTTATCTAATTATTTCAATATTGGATCTAAGTGAAAGAATACAACTTACAATCAATATTCAAGTTTCATTTGAGAATAAAGCAATTACATTTTGAATCCATATGTATATTTTGTTTATATTTTTTTTATATTTTTTTTATATTTTTTAATGAAAATTTTAGATTATATTAGAAATGACTCTATAATAAAAATATATGTTTTAGAAGGTTAAGCACTACATATTTTTTCAACTTTATAAGATATGCAAACACAGCCTTGTTTTTTTTGTTTTGTTTTGTTTTGTTTTGTATTTTTTAAGAGTTATTTAGCAGCTTCAAAAATAAGAATTTAACAAAAAAATTATATACTCTTATGATATCATTTTAAAAATAAAAACTACATGTCATTAATTATGTATCATTTTTTCATACTTATATATTTACCAACAATCAAATTCATCTAATTTAATTGCTTTCAATATAAATTTACCAACTTAAATTTGGTTTGATTCTAATTTTTTGATAGTAGATTTTTTAAGTTAAAAAATTATATTTTTTATATTATATTAAGACTAAAATAAGTAAAAAAATAATTGAGGTTTTTTATTTTGTTATATTGTAATATTTATTTATAATACATGTTTTATTCAATTTAAATCTATCTTTGATATATTCTAATTATAAATTCACTAAGTATTATCATATAATATTATTTTTAAAGTTTTTAGTTACTTTTTCATAACAAAGATTTTTTTTTTTTTTTTTTTTTTTTTTACCTCTACTTCCTTTTATAAGTTACAAATTGTATTAGACATACATTCTTTGTATTAGACATACATACTCAAGTTATTTTTTAAGATATTAAAAATAGGGAAAAATTCTTGAATCAATAGATAAATTCTTTTATTCAAAACATAATATTTTTTAAAGTATATTTACTTTTTTATATTTAATATTTTAAATTAATTTTTTTAAAATTATATAAAAATAGATTTGAAAAGTAAATTTTAAATACTTCACATGACATTAAAAACATAGATAAAAGAAGTTAAAAGAAATAAATGACTAATATCAATAAATTTTGGAAGAAAAATAATTTTATATACTAATAATATTTTTAAAGTTTAATTTTTTAAGAAAATAGAAAAAATAATAAAAAAGCGATCATCATAAGAATTCTGATTTGTAGAATCACAAGTTAAAAAATTTAGGTTGCTACAACTATTACAATGTCAAATAAAAATATAGATTTTTGGAGAAAATATATATATTTTTTAAATAGATAGTAGAGTACAACTTATTTCAAATTAAATCTTATAAAGATTATCAATATTTGGAAATATTTTTAAATGCAAATGTTATATTTAATTTCTTCATAAGTGAGTTATTTGAAAACAATTATGAAAGCTTCAATCATTATCAAATAAATGATAGTCTTTCTACTAAGGTTTGGGACAATATTAATAGCTTAAAGGACCTATCAACTATTATAATGTAGAATATAAATAATAATTTGTAGAAAATTCTACATTTTAAATTTTTTATTCTAACAATTTAAAAAACAACTTCTTCTAAAATATAAATAACTCCTTCTAAAAATATATCATAATATAGAAAAAAATTAAATTATTTAAAATAATTTATTACAACTAAATATATAAAAATAGATTTTTTAAAAATATTAAAAAATATTTTTAGGTGTGGATTAAATCTATAGGTATTTTTAATTATATTATGTGAGTAAAACAACTTCTATGCTATGTTATAAAAAATATATTTAAAGATAATTATTTTTTATTTTTTATTATCTTTCCAGCACATTTAATTCTTGCTATGGATAAAATTAACTCAATTTTCACATATTTTTTAAAAATAAAAGAGTTAAATTATAATCTTAAATTTTTATTTGTTAAATATTATTATTTATTTGTATTATATATTAATATTT